AAAGAAGTAAAACTCCCCAACCTACCCTCTCTTCGTCTGGCCTGCCCACAATGAAGAAGAAAAACAATAAAAACTTCAGCCAGTTACTCTCGCTCTCTATCCCCCCCTTCATCCGGCTTGCCTGCAACGAAGCAGAAAAAACGCAGAAACCCCACCTTCTTACTCTCTCTATCTCTTCGCTCAGCTGGCTCTGAACGGGCAGACTCCAATAAGCTACCCTATCTCTCCTCTTGTCCTGCTTGCTTCGCTCGACGTCCAACCAAACGCCATCTTCCGGTCTCTTTTTCTCTTCATCTTCGTCAGCTTCCTCCTCCCTTTTCTTCCCTCCTCAGAGCCACGCCACACCGCCAGACCCACAGCAGCTGCCAGAGCTCCTCATTTTCCTGCCAGACCGGCAGAGCTCCCGCAAAACCTCTCAGCCGGCCCCATTCTCACCCCAGCTCCGCTACAAAGGTTTTGCAGATAATTTTTTTATTTGTATTAAATTGTAGTCTTCTTCATTTGTAGCTTTTCTATTTAAGTCACTTTCATTTAATTTATATTCTGTTGTCTGATTTGTTTGTTCATTCTTTGTTGTCATTTTTTGAGTGTCATTTAGCTGTAGGTTTAAATTAGAGATATGTTTGTTTATATTGTCAAACTGATTTCTAATCTCATCATGGTTTGAAACAATTATTATTTGAATCTGTCGCAGCACTGTGTATATTTTCTCCTGGAATGTATTTGTATTGTCTTGAGTCGTTCCTGCAGATCTTTGAAGCTCCAAACTGGGTTCTTCAGGAAGAGGTGCTAGGTATGGTTTTATATTACTTTCAGATAGGTATATAATATCCATTTTTCTCTCTCCTCTAAGTAGTTTTCCATCGATGTCATAATCTTTTTAATTAGTTTTATCAAGCCAGTCCATCTTAAAATCCAAACAGCCAAATCTTACGTAGTTCTTGTCTTTATATAATGGTTTTATAATCCAGTACATTTCCAATTTTCAAGGCACCACTGAAAACAATATTTTGTGGCAGTTTTCTTTTCAGGGGTCTTATAATTATCAGCCAGTCAGGATTCAGTTCAAAGTATTTGACCATCTTAAAAGTTTTCCAGTAATTTCTCCTTTAGAAGATTAGCCAAAGGCCAAATTTTTTCTTTCTTTGCAAATAGTTCTAAGGTTAAGATTTAAGAATGCAGTTCAGTGTGTTTATAATCCCAGAAGGTCAGCAGTTTCTAAACATATGTAGTTTCACTCAGTAGTAGATAACTCAATGCTTTGTTCCCAGCTGTTTTTTGCTGTTTCTAGGTATCTTGCCAAATTCTGGGTCAGTGCTGCTATAGTTTTCTCTAATCCTCCACTAGATGTCACTGTTCATTTTTCAACTTTTAAAACAAAGTTATTTTTGTTCTTCTTTTTATATATATATAGAATTTCATCAATGCTTTTTCAGATATAGAGTTCTAACAATTTTCTTAGCTTTCAAATTTATCCAAACTGTGGTAATGTTTATTCCCCATAAGGGTTTAATTCGCCGCTTCCGTCTATAGAAGGGTGTGGCAAATCCCCCCCCTTCTCACTTTGGGAGGCTTTTTGCTTCTTGGGGATCTTTTCCAGAAAATTAGGTATAAAATAGGAGAGAGAAGATCAAATTCCTCACCCAGTTTCAAGCACGCTGTTCACTGTTGTGCTGATTAGTGCCTTTGGACTTCGGCTGCAAGTAGCTTGGGCTGGTCAGTAAGGTGTGGCCTGTTGGGTTAGAAGGCTTTCCCCAAACCGAACGAAATGACCACCGTCATTCCAGAGTCGTCGGGGCACCCTTCTTTCTTTGCCGCCTCTCCGGGGCGACTTAGACCCATTTAGGGTCCCGTGGCAGGGCGAAACTAGCCGTGGGGTACGGCGCAAGACCGGAAGTCCTGGATAATTATTTCCTTCGCTTTAAATAAATTGGGCTTTTTATTAACTTTGTTGACCTAATGTATTCATGAGAATTGTTTTTTAGAAATTAAATGATTCAGTTATATTAATTCTAGAAAATATAAAATTTGATCATATATTCCCAGAGAGATTAAAGAATTAGCTCTCTTTAAATATTCTTGGAATCTTATTTGAATCATCTTAACTGTTACCTTTATTAGGTGGTATTGTATGAAGCCTTGGAAAGAATGAGATATATCTAAAGAATAGAAAATAAAATTTAGTTAATAATGATCATGCAATGAGTGTTATGGATTAAGGAATATAGATGTATTAGATAATGATCTGAAGAATTACTGCAATATCTAGGACATGGCAATATTATAAAAATATTGTTTTTTATTTGCAACAGCAAATACATAGCAATTGTCTCATATGAGCAACGTCAAAGTTACAAGGATGATTTTAATGCAGAATATGATGAGTACAGAACCCTGCATGCAAGGATGGAGAGTGTAACTAGGAGATTTATGAAACTAGATGCACAGCGTAAACTACTCTCTCCAGGATCTAAGGAATATCAGGTAAAGGTTGCCTTTTCAACTGTTAAAACTCTCTTCATGAAAGTCTACATTGTGACTAAGAAAATAATACTGGATTACACAAATGTCCAGTAGTCAAGTTATTTTTGCTTCTTTTAAAAGAATCCATGGAGTGGCTGAATGAACAGAAGAATGAATGAATGAACGATTCCTACAAAGAAACCTTCATAAAAATATTTAGTGAAGAATATTTGATTATTATGATTCCTACTATGTAGACTTGATTTGTTTATTGTGATGTTGTAATCTTGCTTTCTTTTCTTTAAGGCTGCTGCAGAAGTGGTATAATTAGATTGCATTGCTTGCTTGCTTGCTTGCTTATTTATTTATTTATTTATTTATTATATTTCTGACAATACTTTTAGTAGTCAAAATATTGAATTACATTGCATGCTTAGTTAGTTCAAAGAAACTGTTAATAATTAAAAGTTATATAATTGTATTGATTCAATTCCAAAAAATGCTTTGGTGTATACAGGAGTGTGAATATAGCACCTGTTTACATACTATATACTGTATTTAAGCAACCACATCCTTTCCCAGGATCATATGATAGCTGTAAAATCCCAGGGAAAAAATTGGATTTTTATGCCCCTATGTACACCTTTGTGAAATTAAATTTAAAATGCTATAGATTTATCTAAACTTTTTAGCCATTGAATTATTTTTGTTTCAAACTTCTAGATCCTTCATGAGGAAGTCTTACAAGAATATCGGAAGATTAAACAGGTTGGTGTAATTGCTATTAAAAATGATACACCGTATGGATTTTTAAGTTAGCATTGTTATAGTCTTAATTTGTATACCTGTTTAAGTTTCTTTTTTCTTTGATCTGATTTAAATCTACTTTTAAAAATATAAAAAAGTACTGGGAAATATTTAGCTGGTAATGTATTTACAGTAGCAGCTAGAAAAGCTGAGTCAGACTGAGAAGCAAGCTTAGTGTAACAGAAGCTATTTTATCATTTCAGTAAAGGGGATGGCTTCATGTTATATTGTTTCTTAATTCGGTAAAAATTTTGTGTTGCTTATATTTGTGGGAAATACAAAGACGCACAGATAAAACCATACAGCAGCTTCTGGGTGCGTCATTGTAGTGCTGCTTCTGTAAATTGTTGCTGAGTTTCAATAGAGATTATTTGGATGGAGGGTATAAAAAACAAAGAGGAGATTGAACTAGTGAAACTTTCACATTGCTAGTATATTTTAGGGTTTGTATATTCTCTGGAAAAGGAGTTGTAGAACACTGAATTAATGAATTTTTCATTCTATTTCTTGTATCACTACGGCTATCACTTTCCACCATATACATACAGTATATACAGTACACTCATTAGGGCTCTATGTTGATTACAAACTGTTCTTGCCTAATTCCCCCCAATTTACTTCATTATATGCACATTTATTTTCAGAATGTTTCTACCAAGCTGAGTATTTTCAGAAGGTTAGGGTACAAGTATATTTTTAGTAAAATAATACTAGATTTTGTATAAATCTGAAATTAAAAATAAATGAGTTTGAATGGAGCATTTTAGAAATGAGGTTTTGATAATATACCTGGCCATATGTCTCTTTCTGATAAATGATTTAAACTTAAAGGAAGCCTTTAAATTTAAAGGAACGCTTTAAATACGCTTGATATTGCCATCATTTTCTTAGTCCAGGGTACAGTATTGGTCAGGACCGAAGAAAGATATAGTTGCCATAGAAACTTTGAAAGAACAAAATTGTGTGAAGCTAACCTAAGTATTTGTTAATATCTGAAGGAAACCACAACATTAGAGGAAAAGAGGCTGAGAATGAGACCAATGAAGTTGCATAAATCTAGTTGTCCCAACTATCAGAAATTTCAGTTGGGGCATATATGTGTACGTTGTGGAAACAGATAAAGAAAGTGAGAAAAATAGGAAAGCCTCCCCAATTTTATGCAAGTGACCACAAGCAGATCTTTGACACAATGAATATAAATCTAACAAAATGACTCCAGCTAAGATAAATTTCTAAGCAAAATTTTGGTTTCTGTGGGAAGACTCCAGAAATAGAGTCTAAATCACATGCTAAGTTAAAGAATATAATGTAAGCATTTAAGCTTGTTAAACCCTTTTTTCTCCAATGGTGTTTGGAAACACTCAACATTTTTTATATCATGCTTCATGATTTTCAAACTTTACATAATATATTTCTGAATAAATTCATATTTATTGCACCTCCCCATGAATGCACATAGCAATATGGAAGTAGTAATGTCTTCACCCATAGATTTAGCCAATACTTCTGTACCCGTCAGCATTAACACAGTGAATCATTTTTTTCAGAAATTCAAGACAAAAATATTTCTGGAAAGATGCAATTCCATCTATAGATACATTAAATCAGATAAATCATAAGTATGAAACCATTAAAACCTCTCCTCGATGAAAATTGGCTATATATACACTGCTTATCCTTTTCTTTAAAGTAAATTTCAGAAAATGCTATTTTTTACTATTTTGAAATTAATGAATTTATCTTATTTCTGTATTTGTTGTGTGATGTGTGAAATATAGTAATGATATTTTTAGCTGCTTTGGGAGTGTTTATTAAAAATAAAGCTATGTAATTTGTTTAAAAGAATGATGTTTTGTCAAAAACTTACTTTATTTTTATTTGCTGTTATAGTCTAGTCCCAACTACCATGAAGAAAAGTACAGATGCGAATATCTTCATAACAAGTTGGCTCATATCAAAAGACGTATAGGTGAATTTGACCAACAACAAGCAGGGTCCTGGCACTAGGGCTCTGGACCAGAAGATGTGAATAAACTAAAGATTATTTATTTAAAATTCCATACAGCTTATTCTAAAGATTTAAAAATAAGTGAACATTCTCTAAGGCAGCAGGAGCATTAGCAGTCTGAATTTGTTGTTTTGTTGATGGGGAGGATGTTGCTTCTCTGCATAGTTCAAGCTGCTTTTTTCTGGTCCCCTTTTCCTTAATTCTTACTTGTTTATCCATGGAAATTATTTTACCATTGGGTAATGGGGATCCAGGCTCTATAGTTCTGAGATTGTACACATTTTTCAAATGAAACAAAAATTGTAGTTAAAAAAAAAAGCTTTTCAATAACTACAGGTCTATTTTCTGAATTGTTTTCTTCTGAATGCAAAACTATTTGCCTTAAGTGGTACAGAGTTTTAAAATTTGCACAAAATAAAACAAAAAAAGATATGTTGTTCGGGGAGGGTTAAAAGGTGGTATATAACTTTTATATATATCTATATATATATATATACACCTATCAACAAGAAACACTTATTCCTGTGATTTCAACCCCCACTACAGTGGTTGCCTTATGGTGTTTTCTTATGTACCTGAAATATACTTAATTTTACCATAAGTACACTGCTTCCCTCTGTGTAAAAATGGGAAGCATTCTGTGGCCTACTCTCT